CGGCCACGGGAAGGCGGGAAGCCATTAGACCATAGTTATAAAATCCGGCTCGGTTTGGCTGTCGGACCCAGATAATCCCGTGAACCAATCATAGGATCGAATTGAATTGCTCATTAAACTAAGTAAGTATTAAATTCGTTGATCAGTCAACGATCCGACGGTTCAACCGATGAATCCATTGAACCATCAACTTAAAAATTTTACTATTTTTATAATTTAAAATATATTATTATGTTATATAACATAGTTATTATGCAACCTACAATCGTACTGAAATAAGCCGCAAACGTTTCATGTGTCCATGATTGGAGATGAAAATGGGGTTAAGGATTAGAAGAACCGAGAAAATTCAAAATAGAAGGTTAAACCAATTGACTGAAATATTAACGTATCTATAACTTTCGACTAAAATTTAACTAAAAATGTGACCACTCACTAGGGAACGAAAGTGGCTATTTTTTTCTAAGATTAAAATCGCTTATTTTGATTCTTACATAATAAAATTTTTCATTAACAGTATGCGAGGAATGATTGGTATTACTTTCCTTTTTGTGCTTTTTTTGTGCTTGAGAAAGAAAAAGTCCCTGCAAAAAAATAAAAGACCCAAGCCAAGGAAAAATATATATATATATATATATATACGTCAATCTACTAGTTAGTATATTTCCAGATACAATATTGTCATGGCATCATCATTCTTAGCATTCACAAGATCGCGATCACTTATAGCCTCGGCAACCATCTCCAATGCTTCCAAGCTTATTATACTTTGAACAATTGCTGCCAGGACTTCTAGTTTGCCGCTCATGGCAGCGAGGTGTAAAGACTTCCTTCCATCCTCATCACCTTTACAACAAAATTTAAGGCATACCTTTATACAGCAATATTAGATCAAGAGAGATGGTTTGAAGGGGTGTTACAAATGTCACTGTCCTTAAACTTCAATTTGCCCCTACAATTTTGGTACGAAAAAGAGTTCCACAAATTAACTTTCAGGATATAACGAAATCTAGCGATTGACTGAGTTTTATACTAACGAAATCATTTCACTAAAAGCACTCAAGAGTTTGACAGATTTGTCTATATTTATGGAGAACTTTGCAAGAATACTTGAATCCTATACATATATAAAAAGGAGTTGGTGTTTGACTGTTGGATAAATGCGTTTTGGTGTGTGCATTACCCACCATACCCTTAGTGGGTTGATGCTTACACTGTGAATGTGTGGTTATGGAGTGATTGTTTCAACTTTACTTTTCAAAGTAGCTGTTAGCTGTGCAGTTAAGACAAAGAGGTTCTTCCATGGATTTGTAATTGCTGCAAATGGTCAGATAAGTAATTGAGCTTGTGCAAAGACTTCGAGGGGTTAATTGAATTATTGAAGCATGTTTACATGCTCACATGAATGCATTGAGAACAAGATTAATTCAATGCTTGATGGTGGAAATGTAACTGCAAACATTTTCCCTTCTAAACTTTTACAAAATCAATTGAGTTGCTCTAAAAAGTAGGATGATTAGAGCGAGCAATTATGGCCTCTTTGATACAATAGCAGTGGATGGAAGATGAGCGACCTCTTGGAAAGCATCTCTAAACTGAAATGGAAAGCCTTTTGCTCTTCTGAAGCATTTGTTGAGCACTTTTTTAGGAATCTACAATAATGGAGGTCGTTTACACAAAGCATGGTTGGATGAGTTGCTTAAGCTTCGTATTACCAAGATGGTGTCCGAAGAGATAAGGTTTCTTGCCCTATGTTTTTAGGTAGATTCTATATGTGTGTGTATCCAATTTTCCAATGAAACAGTTACTATATTGGGGAATTTGCAATTGGAAAAGTCTGAAGTAACGAGCGTTATGATAACGAAACTGTTTTTACCTGATATAACAGGTAAAAACACTTTTAGCGACCATTTGATTACCTGTTATACTGGTCATCTAAATAAAATAGTACCTAAAAATATGGTTAGTAAGTTTTACATTAAAAATAGTAAGTTAACTCAAGAAATTAGTAACTTTTATGTCTCAAAAAGTAAATTTGAAGAAATATGGAACTTACTTTTTTTTTGAAGTAGATAACTACTCTATATCTAAAACTTACTTTTTGGAGAGTAAGTTTAGTTCAAATAATAGTAAGTTTTTATAGACTAATAGTAAATATTGTTGATAGAATAGTAAATTTGGGTTAATCATCAAAACTTACTAGTTTATGGCATAAATTTACTATTTTACTTAAAGAAACTTATATGGAACAAGTATTAGGAAGTTTATTTGAAATAATGCTAAGATTTTTTATTAATAATTGAAACTTAGTATTATAGTTAGTAATTACTCGTAATGTAAATGTATGATACACAATTGTACGTATCATTTATAAATGTTATATGTTTTAAGCATTTTAAATAAACTATGAAAACTTTTTTTTTGCATATGACCTTATAAAATATGTAAGAATAATTTGTCATATTATAAATTTTGAATTATTTTTGAATTTGTAAAAGGTTAAAAAGTTTGGATGACAGTAAAAAAAAATCTTTTGAGTTATATATAGAATTGCACTTATCTATACATCACAATTTCCATATATGGACACCGATGAATATAATAAAATGGTACGCAATTTTCATATATTAATGCCTATGAATTTAATAAAATGGTAAAATCTTAATAAATTTATTTTCTGGGTCACAAGTATAAAAATTAAAGTTGTATTAACATAGAATAATCTTTGAAAATTATAGTAAAATTACCCATATGTTAAGTTTTGTGACTTTCAAACATACTTTGTATCATTTACATTATGGATTTGTATCCATATGTTTTCTATCAAACTCTTTTTTTATTGGCAAATGGTAAGTAAATTATTATAAAAGGGCATTTTATAATAATCATAATTTTTAATAGATGAATTTTATGTAAACTGTTAAAATTATGAATTCACAAACGACTAAATCTGACTACTTTATGACACATATTAGTCTAAATGACTAAAAAATTACTGTAATCATGCACACGTTGATTGTTGAATTGAAATTTCTTTTATTACTAGTACAAGTTCTTCTAATCAAAGCAAAATAAAATCAAATATCTTTTCCTTTTGTATGCAATAGTTATGCTTAATAGAAAATTATTAAACCATTTTTACAGTACATAATTTCTCCTAAAATTTGTAACATTTACCATGACCTCTAACCTTGACATTGTTATTTAATTTACCTTCTAAATTTAATTTAATTTTCTTATATTAATTGTTATACTAAATTTATAATTTTTGTTATTATATTATTTCTCATTTTGTTTAGGCTTTTACTCTTATTATTTCTTGTGTCTCAGATGTAAATTTATTAAAACTTTATCATCTTATTATATTCATAGGTGTTAATTTATAAAAATTTTGATATATAAACAAGTAATATTCTATATATAACTAGGAAGATTTGTTGTTATTATTATCCAAACTTTCAAACTTTTCAAAAATTGAAAATAATTAAAAACTTATAATACGACAAAATTTTATTACATATTTTACGAGATTATGTGAAAAGTCAAACTTTTTTCCATAGTATTTTAAAATATGTAAATAAATTTTTTTAAATGTTAACTATAATCTTGTATTATACAGGTATATTATGAGTACTTACTAACTAAGGTACTAAAAATTAATCATTAATAAAACATCTTATCGTTATTTCAAATAAATTCCCTAACACTAGTTTGAAATATGTTTTAAAGTAAAATAGTACATGTGTCTCATAAATCAGTAAATTTTGATTATTAATCAATTTTACCATGTTATCAGTAAGAATTACTATTTATGTATTAAAACTTACTATTACATGAATTAAACTTACACTATAAAAAGTAAGTTTGGGATATAAAGTAGTAATTTATTTATTTAAAAAGTAAGTTTAATATTTATTCCAATTTACATTTTGAAGTATAAAAGTTACTAATTTATTACTGTCAACTTACTATTTTAGATGGAAAACTTACTTTCTTATTTTTAAGTGTTATCCTATTTAGGTGGATAGGCCTATCAAATAATCAAATGGCCGCTAAAAGTAAATAAAAAATAAATCGAAAATGGTCATATAAGTGTTATCCTATTTATGTTTCAAAAAGTAAATCGAAATAAAAATGAAAGTTACTTTTTTTAAAAATTAAATTACTACTCTACATTCGAAACTTAGTTTTGTGGGGAGTAAGTTTAGTTCAAGTAATAGTAAGTTTTTATAGATTAATAGTAAATCTTGTTGAAAGAATAATAATTTGGTTAATCATCAAAACTTACTAGTTTGTGGCATAAATTTACTATATTACTTAAAGAAACTTATATGAAACAAGTATTAAGAAGTTTATTTAAACTAGTGCTAAGATTTTTTTATTAATGGTTGAAACTTAATATTATAGTTAGTAGTTGTTGGTAACATAAATGTATAATAATGATTGTATGTTTCATTCATAAATGCTTTGTGTTTTAAGCATTTTAATAAATGTATGCATCATTTATAAATGTTATGTGTTTTAATAAATTTATTTTCTAGGTCACAAGTATAAAAGGTAAAGTGATCGTATCTAATGTAGCGTAATCTTTTAAAATTATAGTAAATTTACCCATATATTAAGTTTCGTGAGTTTCAAATATATTTCGTATCATTCACAATATGGATTTACATGCACATTTTTTATGAAACTTGCTTTTAATTGGCAAATAGTATGTAAATTATTATAAAATGTCATTTTATGATAATCATAATTTTTATAGGTGAATGGAATAGGTGCAAGATCTTGATACTGTACTACAACACAAATTTGGGGATAAGTACAAGTTTCAGGCATCGTCATTTGAATTTGACGAATCTCCTAACATTCCTAAACAACCGAATAGGTAACTTTCATTAATGACGTTTTAAAGCCTAAAAAACCGTGTGCTGAGTATTGTATAACAAGAGTATTTGAGTTGCTTTTCGAGTTCTGCTCATCAAGTAAGCCAGTCCAATTTGAAGTAAACAGCAAAATCTACATGCACAAGACATTTGATATGAAATTGGTATTTCAAAATAGGAGAAAACGGCTCATTTTGAGCATCAGAATGAATCTAACTTTTAATAATTGATACTTACGCATCAAAATTAAGCTGGCAGGACACTAGATATAGCTATCTAAGCATGACAAGATTACATGGCCAAGAACTGAATTTAGAGCACAAAGACTTTGGCTTCAGAAATCTGAAGCAATCAAAAGGCAAGTAACTTGATTTGAGAATTTGATCACCAGCATCAAGGGCTCTGATATCACTATCAAAAGCTTCAGTTTGGATTGACATTTCTGGTTTACAAACCCAAGAGCACTTGGATGCTAACAATATCTGAAATTTGATCACCAAACTTTTTTCCAAGCAAGCTGAAATTATTCACATTAAAACAAGTAAACACCAGAAATTGCAAACTAAGGAGATTATGTTCAGATTTACAATCAAAACGCATTAAACTACCTTCGAAGAAACTTAAATCATCCTAAAAGCTTTGAGCAAAGACGTGCAAAAACATTTGTACTCTCTCAAGAATAAAATTCCTTAATGGTCTTGGCTGAAATCTGGTTCATTCACTACAAAACCATCACAAGATTTGTATTAAAAAAAGGCCACAACAACACATAATCATAGCAAATAAATAACATAAAACTTAGGCGTGAAGAAGGAAAAATGTACCTGAATACTTTTCATCTCCTAACAAGCTAGTGTTTTGTACATGACTTTGGATTAATGAAGGATTGCATGCCCACATTAATGCCTATACAAATGCAAATAGAGCACCATTATATTTCATGCCTTCACACAAAAATAAATAAAAGCAAGCTATACATTACCTGACCAGGAGGAATGATCTGAAACCAATTACTATCCATTAATTCCTTATTGCATCCATGCTGTGAATCTGATTGCAATAGGCCATCGGATGATCCTATCAGATTCAAATTTACATTCTCAACATTATTGGGTGCCCCAACATGATCATAATTGTGAGTTTCATATGCATCTGTGCACACTTTAGTACATTTTCGTCTATCATGTCCAAATGACCTGCGGGAAAAAAATTGCCAAGCACAATCCATAAACAATAAGATTGAATTTATAAAGGCGTATATGAAGTGTACATATATAACTAACATTTTTGGCCTTCTAACATAAAGCCAATGAGTGGATGAAATTTAGCATTGCTCATTCATATCTGGTTTTGCAAAGCTATTCTAACCGTAGAATAAGTCAATTTTAAGAGTAGGTGATTACTTGCAATTTTTGCATCGTCTTCGCTTTCGCTTGTGAGTGGACTGTTTTGCCTTTTGTCCCTTTGTAGCAACAACAATTGGACCAAGAGAAAGTATGGACCAAAGTGGAAACCTTTGCCTGGGAATTCAATCGTATCGTTGGAATTGAGAACTAAATAAGAAGAAGACAGATGACTTTAAAGAGATAGGTGATACCCGAAAGTGTTTCAGGAACCCAAAACCGTTTTCAGCAACCCAAAATCATTTTTAGAAACCCGGTGATTTTTTCACTTAAATATGTAAATTTTTTACTTTTAGTATTAGTAAGTTTAGTTTAAACATAAGTAAATTTTGTCAAATAATAAGTAAATTAAATTACTCAAAGTGTAAATTTCTATTTCTGACTAAAACTTATCTTTCAGGCATATACTTACTAGTTTGAATTAAAAACTTACTTATCTTCTCGACTTGACAACCCGTTTCTTTTCTAGGTATTTTATTATTAGAACTCCATTCTCTCTATATTACAAACCATCATCAAACTAATTGAAAACCTCAATTCTCATATAAACCATTCATCTGAATTTTGTTCCAATCAACCCATTCAACAGATTTATGTTCCAGTCTAATCGTTATGATATAGCAATGGCATTAACAAGCTATTTTGACTCTCCCGGTAAGGGTTTACGTATTAGTAATTTTTTAGGAGGAAGATGAGTTATTCACATGTCCAAAATATCGAAACAACCAGCATAATCTAATCCTTAGTTCAATGAAAGTCACAAATTTGCGGGTAGGTAGATTAGATTATGTTGAATGCCTTTGGCTCTTTACAATGAAATTCAAAATTTTTTCTCATGACAGAGCAAAGACGGTGATATAATTGATTGTGTCTATATGTATCAACAACCAGCATTTGACAATCCTTTGCTCAAAGACCCCTGGATTCCGCAGGTTTGCCCCATGCAACACCATTCAAAAGACAAATAAACAAAAAAATGCAAAAATATGAAGTATGTATAACACCATAATTGATTGATGGTCGGAAACTGTTCTATGAATTTTCTCTCCTTTCCTGACTGAAGAAGAGGGAAGATGTGATTCTACAAAATCTACATGTATCATAGGATGGTAATAAGAATTGCTTCTGCAACACAGATTTACAAGAGTAATAATGGCCAAATTTCCGTGGCATTGCAGACGTTACAATGGAGTAAAAAATTCAAGAGGCTGATAATAAATTTCCATAGAAACAACAGATTCGCAACAATGATTCTAGATCAGTCCAGTTCAATAACATATGCTCCATCAAGCGTATCAACTTAGAATTCCAAAACGGGAGAAACCTCTCTTGCCTGAAGAATTCAAGTTATAAAGCTCATGTTGAGTTACTAATATATTAGTAATTCTCACCCGCACAGAGTAGCAATCACAACATACAAATTTCTCTTTGACATTTCACCAAACATCTTATATGCATTCACAAATTAATCACATTTAACTTAAACGTCTGGTCTCAAGTCCTTTCCTAGATGTTTCACATGGCTATTAAACATATTTTACCCGTAGACAATCAAAATTACAACCATTTCCTAGATGTTTCAACGGACATTTTCAGCCCCAAAATTGCAATAAAATCTTCAAATTCTCAGCCTTGATTTCCCAAGAAAATCTTGACAAACAAAACAAATGAAATATAAATAAATTACAGCAATATAATCAAACGATTTCAAGAGAACATGATGATCTAACCTCGTCACTGCTATTTTTCATATGCTCTTTGGCTGGCTACCACCGTCGCTAACCCTTTTGTTGTGTTTGCATATATGGCAGCACTCAAACCCAACCGAACGATGAGAAAGGATAGAAGCAAAGTGTGAACTAAAGATGAAAATTTTGAAGTGAGAAGATTTATTCAATTGTAACAAAGAGAAAGTGTGGATCAAAGTGGAAACCTTTGCCTGGGAATTCAATCGTATCATTGGAACTGGGAACTGAATAAGAAGAAGGTAGATAACTTTAAAGAGAAAGGTGATACCCAAAACCGTTTTCAGGAACCCAAAACCGTTTTTTTACTTAAATATGTACATTTTTTACTTTCAGTATTGGTAAGTTTAATTTAAACATAAGTAAATTTTGTCAAATAATAAGTAAATTAAATTACTCAAAGTGTAAATTTCTATTTCTGACTAAATCTTATCTTTCAGGCATATACTTACTAGTTTTAATTAAAAACTTACTAAAGTTAATATTAATTATTTTAATATAATATTTAAAAAGTCACTAAAAGATTTGATCTGTCACTAAAGGTAATAGAAACCTATAATAGCAGGTTTCCCTAATATCGTTACCATAACTATAGGCAATGTAGCACTGTCCTTTGCAATTATATTTGTAACTATATCCTTGCATGTTTGCCGGTGACTCGAGTTCAAAATTCAAATGTGAGACAAGGGGTTCATCCAGCAGCAGATTTGTCATCAATGTACTTTCTAAAACAATTGTTCCATTTAATGCATTATTTTCATGCATTGGCTACAAAGCCTACAATGCAAGATGGTCTATATCACCTACTTACAGAAGAAGCCACCAAGCATCTAACCAAATGCTGAAACTCCACCTAAGGCCATGCTGCCTCAACTATGACTCTGCACTTATATAGACGATTATGCCTTTGCTATGCTTGCTATCATACTATGGTATCCTTATATATTTTAACACTGTTGCACTATGGTGTCCTTATAATACTTTGCATTTGCACACATCTTCAATTACAAACTGCTTTCCCTACAAAGGTTACAATTCCTGCGTCGAGCGCGGGTGCCACCCCTAGTGATTATAATAATCCAAATCACTCCATATACAAACTAATTGGTTGGTTATATTTAAAGAGCTATTCATGTCCCTTGAAAATGAACATACCCATTCGCTAATTCATGGCTTTAGTGAATAGGCACCATAACCAACTACTAGTCATTAGAGTTGCAACTCTTTATGTTGAAAATTCTTCAACAATCACGCACTAAACACACGTAAGAGAATTCTTATCCTCACACTTCAAAGCAGCTTTACGAAGAACAAGTGGATCTTCTTGAATTAACTGATAAAAAGTGGAACATCTCCTTCCAGTGCTGCATCACAAACCCTTCTGTCCATTTGTCACTCTACAATTCCCAGAAACAGAAAACCGCATGTCAAGGTTGTGGGGTTGGGGTAGGTGGAGTAACTCTGCCATTAGGCCTGGGTGCCCGCAAGCTGAGCCGAGAGAGCACCTGACTGCAAAAATCAGAAAAAAAGTAGCTTCTGCTGCCCATCCGGCGAATTTTCAGCCATTTCTTGAACAGAGCGTTTATCTCATACAGGGTTGCGACCATCCAACCGCTCCAGACCATGAGTAGGATGACTAGAATATCACTTGTATTACCCAATTGCCGCCCTCTTGCTCCTTTTGGTGCTACTGTAACAAATGCTATACCATAAGTTATGGCTATGGTTGCAATGGCTAGCCACATGACGAAGGCCAACAGCGGCATAAAGTACTTGCTGGGGATGCTCGACCCGCGAATGAGCAAAATAATTGTGCTCAGAGATGAAACAAATGCTATTGTGTTTGTCCGAATCAGAAGCCAGTAATATTTTGGATGCTTTTGTGCCATAACAGCTTCTCCTATTGTGTGTGGATTTGGTCCTTCTAACAAGTCATCTTGCCACAGACCTCCTGGAGGGCTTATCCCAGCTTGAAAAGCCATGGTTGCAATAAGTATGGCCACCACCATTAGTGCTTCTCTGCTTTTGTCGAACCACTCTAGCTGCTTGAGCTTTCGGTCGTCAATAGGGGAGCGAATATCCTTGGCTTTCAAGGCACCAGCCTCCTGAAGAGACCTTGAAACTTCTGAACTTTTGGTGATTCCCTGCCCAAACAAAAGGTCTAACGTGGTTTTCCCGTTTGCATTCTTGATGTTCACCTCTACTCCAGCGTTAACTAGCAAGTATTTGATGGTCTGCATTTACCAAATTTGGAACTGATGAATTACAGAGAGAATATCTCACGCCTAAACCTCATCAAACTTATTAGAAGCAGGATGGATAGAGGCTGGGATTTTGAGGTCAAGCATGTCTGGAGGGAAGGCAATGCAAGTGCAGACTGTCTAGCTAGACTGAGTCAGGGCTTGGAACCAGGGCTGAAAGTGTTTAGAGAACCCCCAGATGTACTTAAGAATGTGTTAAGCAAATGATTTTATAGGACTAGCTACTCCTAGTCTAATTTCTTTGTAAAGGGCCCTTGGCCCTCTGTAGAACCGCAAAAAATTTTTAATCGGAATCACTCTGTTAAAATTTTTGCACCCGATAAGACTGTATCCCAATTCAACTAAGCCAAGATGATTTGCTACTTGTTAGTGCTGGACAATTCTTGGAAAAAGTTTTTTTTTTTAAATTTAATGCCAATTTTTGTTTCAAACTAAGCCAACATGATTTGGGACTTGTACCTCATGTTGCTCATAGTACACGGCCAGGTGCAATATGGTCATGCCATCTTCATTTTTGGCATTCATGAACTCTGGATCTTTTAATTTGCCAACCATTATCTTCAATGCTTCCAGCTGATTGTATTTGATGCAGAGGTGTAAAATGGTCCCCCCGCCGTCTGTCTTCTCCAGAGCTGCGCGAATTCCGGCATGAATTAGCACTTGCAAGACTGCCACTCTGCCATACATGGCAGCAAGATGTAAAGGGTTTCTGCCATCTCGATCACGAGTCCAACACATAAAATGAGCAGATTTAACTTGTAAGATTGCTTTTACAAAATCTACATGGCCCTGTATTGCTGCTATGTGAAGAGGATTCTTATCCTCAAACTTCAAAGCAGCTTTATCAAGAGCAAGTGGATCTTCATGAATTAACCGATAAAAAGTGGTATTGATACTACAATATGGGGTGGCAGTCCTGGTTAACTTATGGTAATCTCAAGACTTTATAAAGCCCATAGAATTTTCTTTTAAGACGTACGTTTACGTATCACTGAAGGCAAGGACACATTTCTTTCCCGGTTAATATGCCGGACGTTTACGTATCACTGAAGGCAGCATCAGAGAAACGTCAGTTGAAATACTAGGGCAAGACGTTTAGGGGAGCGAGGAGGACCCGCTGAGTATTAGAAGCTTTTTTAATACAATTTTCGAACTTTTTAGGACAAATAGGAAATTTGCCTTCAACTATATAGCAGATGCATGTTTAACAGGATACTTTCTACCAAAAAACTGGGAGTCTGCGATTGGTAAAGCAATTCAAACAAATGTTTAAGAAAAAGAAACAAGAGGAAACTTAGATGAACAGTTTTTGTAATTTAGTCCCAGAACCATATATGACACGGGACGAGTGGGTTAGTGTTATTCAATATTATTACAACATTTTTCAGTTACTTGCTCCCGAAACAGTTCTTATACTGATCACTAGTACTATTAAATATTACCTAAATGATGAGCTTCATCATTATAGCTCATCATTCTCCTCTTCTGCAATTGTAGGTTCCCTCTCTTTTTCCTTAACATATCCTTTCTTTCTAAGCACATGGAGAACCCCTCTAACGACGTTACTGATGAATACAACTCCCATAAGACAGAACCATACTAGAACTGAAATCCAAGTCACATGGCTGAGGGTGCCTTTCAGACGACCAGGACTCAAATTAACAAAACTAATGAAGTACGTTATGCTTTGAGTACTGATGGCAATCCACATTATGACCAGTTGAGTCCACATCCAGCGATGTCGTCTTAGAGGCAATCCGCTAACCTGTAATAGGATTATGCTCAAGGAAGCAAGGAAAGAAATGGTGTTGAAGATCAAAAATTGACCGTATGCTTGATGGAGATTACTTGCCATTACTGATTGACCTGCATAATGTGGGTTTTCCACTTGGTTGCCATTCGAATCTACAACATAATCGCTGGCCCAAACACCCCCAGGAGGGGATAGTCCGGCTTGAAAGGCCACAGTAGCAACCAATGATGCTACAACCATTAATGCGCTTCGCATCTTAGCTAGCCAGTCTGTTTGTTTATGCTTGTTGGGCTGCTTGTTTTTGCTGATAGTCGGCAAATTCTGCAACCTGGCAATCGATGAAGTAGTTCTGGCTGCATCTGTCACCGGTACCCTTGAGGGTGTGTGTTTGATATATGAAGATCTACCGTGTTCAAGACATTGTTTAATGTCCATGTTTCTCAAGTCTTCTTGGCTTTGTAGCAAGACATCCAGAGCAGTTAAACCAAGAACGTTTCGAGCATGAACATCAATTTCTGTATTGATCAGCAAATATTTGATGATCTGCAGAGAAATCGTTATTCAGCCTGTTACCACCATATTACAACATATATTTTTTATGCATTCAGCAAAATGCATATTAGTACTAAGGAACAAAACCAGCAGCAACTAACAAAACAGTTTCCAGAAAGAAGAATAATAGAAGGAAAAGAATCTATTGAGAATAATGAAAATTGTTGACCACAAACTAAGAGAAAGAAATGATGGCAGATTTTTAAACGAGTCTTACTACCAATATCACATCGAGCAGCCTTAAACGAACCAGAATTGTTAACTGGTTGCTGGCACTAGTGAAGGCACTTGTTTGGTCAAAAAATTTTGTATTTGCAGACAGCATTCTACAATTACAACTGTTTTCCCGCCCTTTAAATGGCTAAAGATTACTGAAACATCCAACATTTTTGGCCTCCAGGTGATAAGATCGAATTTGGAATAGCCTTCTATGCAGTATCTTCATATACTAATCCCGTTTACTATCAGCAGTCATTTAACACAATCTTGAGTTAGAAAGCTAAAATGGTTACTCAAAAATAGCTGAGCGGACTACTTAAACGCCAGCAATAAATCAAAAATTACAAACACCAAGAACTACTACCCAACCCTTGCCCCAGAACACAATCTGCATTTTATCAAACATAGTGCAGGGTTAACGCCATATCAGATTTTAGCGACTCTTTCCCAAACCACAAGCTTACCTCAATCTGCTTTTTGGCCACGGCAAGATGGAGAATGGTATTCCCATTCTGATCTTTCCAGTTGACAAACTGATCAATCTCTTTCTTCAATCTTTCAACCAAAACCTTCAACACCTCAAATCGATTATAATTCACACACAGATGCAGACAAGTCTCTCCTCTACCAGTCAAAACCCAAGCCGCCTCCGGCGTAGCTCTGATCAACTCAGTCAAAACTTCAACCCGGCCTTTAATCACAGCTAAATGAAGAGGGCTCCGCCCATCATGATCCAACACAAAACACATGTCTGGGTTCACCAAGACCAACTCTTTCACTATCTCCACATATCCTTTTGCCGCAGCCAAGTGCAGAGGTGAGGACCCCCTAGAATTCAGTGATTTAGCGAGCTCGGGCTTCTGGGTCAAGAATCCTTTCGTGATTTCTAGCCGACCCAGAAGGGAAGCTACGTGTAAAGGAGTTTCAAGCATGGAAGAAGAAGATACGGGGAATGAATTGAGAATTAGAGGATCTTCTTGAAGGATTTGTGATAGAATTGAGACTGTTCCGTTCATGGCTGCTTGATAAAGCCTTGTTTTTCTGGTTTGAAGCTCTTCCTCTTTATCATCAATTAACAAGTTCATAAGCTGCATTCGGTTTCACTATTTTGTAGGGCAAATGATAGAATTTGAATGAACTTTGGAACGAAACACGGTTTGATGACCCATGAGATCTCCTCCTGCTATAGCAACTATTCTTTAATCAACAGCTGTTTTATGAATTATTCAACTCCTTTACTTCTATGCTTTCCTCAAAAGTCACAGTTGAACAACCTGCTCAATTCTCTAATCCACTGACGGTTGACTACGTCTTAGGTTACCGATTTTTCAAACAAATCTTTTGGGATTCGGTTGGAGTCCACCGCTGTAAAAACAACAACGTAGTCAACCCGACAATTCTCTTCCTTAAAAAATAAGGGATAATATCACAAACATCCCCTGAGGCTTATGATGATTGCAGGAAGTACCCTCTAGGTTTACAAAATTATGTATACCTCCCTTAGAAAATAGTTTGGCCTCAATTTGCTGATGTAAGCAAAATATTTCCATTGATAATCCTATATTACTCTTAGGGGAATTTTCTCTATATAAATAAAATTCTTTTGTAATTTTAAACTTAATATATTGCCACATAGCTTAAGAAAACTATCTAAGAAATTTGTTTCTCTTTCCTCAGATAAAAAAAAAAATCACACGGACAAATCGAAAAAAAAAACTTGGATACTAATTGATTAAGTAACCTATTTTTGTAGGAATCTAGAATTTTTTTTCCAAATTACTACAATATTAAGTAAACTTGGATTGAGCTGTTTCGAGTAGTTAGGACAAGAGAGAATCTTTGACTCTTTGTTCCTCTTTGTTTTTTCTCATTTTTCTTTTAGCAATTTGTTAACTTTAATTTTAAATATGTATTACTTCACTTCATGGAGATATTAAATTGAGTAATTCATGAAGATTATTTTTGTTGATTTACACCTTGAGGGGAGGTAGGTGTAATTTTTTAAACATAGAGGGTACCGTATAAAACTAGCGTAAACCTCAAGGGAGGTTTGTGAAAGTGTTTCTAAAAATTACAACATACGTGTTTTTTTTGGGGGGGGGGGGTTCAAAATTACTTGCATACGTTACACATTCAAAAAAAAAATTAAAAAAATGTGTTCCCTTGATCCAAATAATAAATGTTGATTTTGGCATTGCGGCCTCGAGGTGTTCAACTGGATTTGCTTAATCACTTAAATAAAGAAACCAATTGGAATTTGGTTCAAATGGTTGTTCAAGTGGCTAACAGTTCAGTTAACATTTAGAACTTTCATAATTGGTGATTTAGCTATCAAAACCTAAACTAATAAGGGATTACCTATTACATATTATATATATATATATATATATATATATCTGTGTGTGTGTGAGAGTGTAATGTCTAATGTGGCGAGCTTTTGCTTTGTGATGGAAAATTTTATTTTGAAAAATATGGGGACGAAAAAATTTATTTTTGCTAAATGTGAGGAACTATGAATCGGGTTCAATAAAATTTGATTTGACAATTTTGCCCTTAAAAAATGATGGATTCCAACCAAAAACTAATCGGAACTTAGGTTATGACCAAATTTGATTAATATGAATTTGTAAGGGATGTAAAATTATACTTTTAAAAGAGAGGGACGAAAAAATTTATTTTTCAAAATGTGAGAGATGTGTTCAACGATTTACCTTTTAATAATTTTATACAAAACAATCAATGTGTAACCCAATTGAATCGTCTGAACAAGAGAAGAAACGACCATGGGAATTTGATTCCTTGCTTTCTTTTCTATCCGTTTTGTTTTTGTTTGTACTTGGGATTTGGCAGATGTGAAACCAAAAAGTGTTCCCTTCTACATTTTCCACCGTAGGAGGTAGACTTTAACATGCTAATTCTAACTTTCTCATTACTATAATCATGATCTAGAAGCAAAAATAGATTAATTCCTAAGCTTTCAATTTTCTTGTGGGCAGTTTCTCATGTAAAATATTAAATATTCCTAACCATTGATTCTACTAATCTCCAGAAATCAATACATGTCCATACCACTTGCACTGCTATATAAGACTAATATTATTCCCTTGTCTGAAGCAGTAAAAGAGTGAAAACACTTGCATTTCCCCATAGAGATAGTTCAAATCATCAGAACATGGCTTCTGATTCCAAATTCTCCCTTTTCAATTTTGATCAACTGGAAATTGCCTTAATGGATTTCCGTGCCCAATGGCAAACTGCAGACTTTTCAGGTCACGCTGAATTGCACCATAAACTGGGTAATCTCATCCTCCAACTCGACCATTGGAGCTGTTTGAGAGGAATCCTGATTTACATTCACAGGTGCATCCATGGTGCAGAAAAGGTGCAGAATTTGGGATCTCTCATCGTCAAACTTGAAGCTGCATCAGACGAGATCGCAAAGGAACTTGTGATTGCTCGTGCCCAGAATCTCATCCCAGAAAGGCCTCGGAAAGCTCTGCATTTGCTCCGTTTGCTGGAGAAAAAGATTGAGCCTTTCAAGCCAGAAATCGGGCAAGTTCTTCATCATCTGCTTTCAGTCAGCTTACTGGAATCTCAAACTTCTTCCTTGGACCATTCTTTTGAATTTGATAGGTTCCTCCGGTCCATACAAGGGGTTTTGAGATACATCTGGGCATTTGTTGATGACGATCAAGAAGAACAACTGGATGCCCTGGCGACCAAAGTATCATCCCTCCAAAGTTTCTTGCTTGGAGTGCTGGATTTTAAGTTCGAAAGCTGCAGCGACACTGTGATTGACATTTACCTAAATCATGTTGCGTCTCTGGCTGTACGCATAGCTTATCAGTCTTATCATTATTGGGTCAGGGCAATGGATGAAACTCCGGCACAAAGTAGTAAGGCGCTTGATCCTCTGTATCTTCAACATGAGATTGATCCTACTACTCCAGAGGTATTAGAGTCCAATCTCATATTCCTACAACACGAGATTGATCCCAAAAATCCACAGTTCTGGGAGTTGACTCTCAATTTCCTGACATCTCTCAACAAGATCAGCCCTGGCCGAAATGAAGCTTTGGCGGATTACTTTCTCTGCTCTCTCTTAAATTGGGAACAGGGACACGGAATTTTCCCGATGTTGAAGTCCTTGGTAGCCTTTGTTATTAATGAACCAGAGGAATCCAGTGAAGATATGCAGAGTCTCTCAGAAGAAATAAAAGTTCTGCTGCCATTAACAGCATCAATCTCGGCCAATGTGGAAGAGTTATACTTATTCATTTGTCTTCTCAAAGTAGAAGTCTTTCTTAAGGAGCAACTGATACTGAGCAGCAGCAGTACCTTCATGAAGGAGAAGAGCCAGACTAAAGACCTAAGGGAGGTTTTGAACTTCGTTGGAAACTTTACAATGTATCTGCCACAGGCAAAGATAGAAGATGGGGAAGAAACCTTTGCAACTATTCAAGAAAAGACTGAGAAAGTAGAAAACCTTTATCAGTCCTTTCATGCCAATCTAATTACTGAAGAGGAGGCCAGGAGTTTACTTTACGCATGGCTTTTGGAGGTTGTCTTTACCAAAGCAGAAACCGTTGCTTCTCAGTTGTTGCAAAATGGTGCAAGTTTGATGGCCTTCGGAGAATTTCAAATTGAAACAGTTAATCAAGGGCTGGAGTTGTTTGAAGCGTTTATTGGCAATCACTTGAAGGAGATTACAACAGACATGAACTCAATCGTCATACAGTTTGAAGCAGCTGCCAGGAGAGTAACATCTCTCTTTTACTCGTTTGTTTTTGAGCAAACGACAGAAGTGATCATTCAGAAAAGGATTATTTTGTTCTCTAATTTGCTGCACAAGATGGAACTCATCAAGTCAGAGCTAAGGGAGATGTCGACACATTTTCATAAGTCTCATATCCCGAAGACTTACAGGACGGGCTTCCTTGATTCTCTCTTATATAACATAAAGGAACTGCACCAACGTGATCCAAAGTCAATAGCTTTAGTGAAACATCATATTGAAGAGATGCTGTTGGATCTGGAGTCTTTGAAATTGTCTCTCATGAATATTCTTCAGCAAGATAGCCAGGATCCAGATTTGAAAGACCTCGCTTCTCATTTTATCGATGTGGCATATGAGGCGGAATATGTCATCGACTTGATAGAAGTTGGAATTGGTGCTCATTGGCAACATCAGTTATGGATTACTGATCTTCTTCAAGAGATTAAATCTATCAAGACAAAAGCCTCTCAAATTTTTGAGGGGAAAACTTGTGATGCCCGAGCTCCAAAAGTCACCAAGATATCAAGCCCCAGACTAATGCAAGCTAGGACCCCTAAGATTGATGAAACTGTGGTATGTCTCGGTGACCAGATGAAAGATACTATTGATCGACTAACAAGAGGATCTTTGGAGCTGGATATCATCTCTATTATTGGTATGCCAGGCATTGGCAAGACAACTCTGGCCAGAAAAGTTTACAATGATCTCAGAGTTGAACGTTGTTTTTATTTTCGGGCATGGTGTTCTGTTTCACAAGAATATCATAAAAGGGATTTGTTGCTCGAAATTTTAAGCAACGATACCGGGCTTAAGGATGGCATTCACCAAATGAATGATGAAGACTTGGAGATGAAGTTGTACCAGTGCTTGAAAAATAGAAAGTATCTGATCGTGATGGATGATGTTTGGGATGCTACAGCTTGGAGGGAATTACAAAGGGCATTCCCAAATGATAAGAACGGCAGTAGAATTTTGATGACGAGCCGTGTGTCCTTGGAGGAAGCCGAGCTAAAGACTAATCCATACAGCCTTCGTCCATTTTCCAGTGATGAAAGTTGGAAGTTGTTACAAATGAAGATATTTCATGGTGATTGTCCCGAGGAACTATTGGAGGTTGGGAAGGAAATTGCTGAAAAGTGCAAGGGGTTGCCTCTTGCAATTGTTGCAATAGCTGGTCTTCTTGAAAGGGCGGAAAAGAAACAAAAGGTTTGGAAGACGATTGCAGAAAGTTTAAGCTCAAGGATTGTTGATGATCGACAAACGCCATGCATGGAGATCCTCCTGTTAAGTTACGAGCACTTGCCTGATCATTTAAAAGCATGCTTTCTATATATCGGTGCATTTTTGGAGGACAGAGATATTCCTGTGCGCAAGTTGATAAGGTTGTGGATAGCCGAAGGGTTCATTCAGAAAAGTAAGCTGGAAGGCTTAGAAGATCTTGCAGAGGACTATTTGATGGATCTTATCGGCCGAAGCCTTGTAACAGTTTCCAGAAAAGGAACCACGGGACAGGCCAAAGCATGCCGCATCCATGATCTTCTGCGCCAAATGTGCTTGTCAAAAGCAAAAGAAGAGAACTTTCTACAGCTGATCACCAGGTATGATGAACCATATACTGTATTTGATGATGTAGATGGTGGTTCTGATTTTTATGAGTATCGTCCTCCAAATCCTGTAACATACGAGAAGCACCGATTGTTCTTCAATCTGAAACGGAAGCATTTTGTTAACTCAAGCCCTTCCGGTCCTCAAACCCGTTCCTTGATATTCTTTGCCACCACGGACACAAACCCCAGACGTCCATATGATATCTCCTTCATTTCCCACCACTTCAAACTTCTGAGGGTGTTGGATTTAGAGAGCATCAACATTGGTATGTCTTTTCCTAAAGGAATCGAATTGTTGATTCAGTTGAGGTATTTGGCTGTTAGTGGGGATCTGGAATCAATTCCACCTTCAATTGCCAATCTCTGGAAACTCGAGACTTTTATTGTTAAGGGATTGACAGATAAAATTCTGTTGCCAAGTACCATTTGGTGCATGACGAGCCTGAGGCACCTCCATGTAAATAACCAAGTTGTCTTCGACTTGGAAGATGAGCCTGAGAATTCCTCTGCGTTAGCCAATTTAGTTACCCTTTCCTCACCATCTTTTTCATATGGGAAAGATACAGAGAAGATCTTAAGCAGGTTGTCCAATCTCTGCAAATTGAAGTGCATATTCAAAGAATCCTGGGATTCTTCTGAAAACTGCAATCAATTTCCGGGATTGGAGTTGCTAACAGAGTTGGAGTCGCTGAAGATATTTTACTTAGGCAAGGCTCTACATCCAGGTGAACTCAGCTTCCCAGTGAATCTCAAGAAATTGACACTCTCCAATTTTCGCCTACCATGGGATCGAATATCTGCTATCGGAGGACTAGAACAGCTTGAGGTCCTAAATTTGGTTTCCAGAGCCTTTGAGGGAAGCGAATGGGAAATGAATGAAGGCGAATTTCTCAAACTCAAATTCTTGAAGTTAGACAGTCTGAACATTGCCAGGTGGACTGCCTCCGCTGAACCCCTTCCCAACCTTGAGCACCTAGAGTTGCGAAATTGTAAGGACCTTGAGGAAGTCCCCTTTGAATTCGCTGATATTCCCAACTTGCAGAAGATTGAGGTGCAATTCTGTGGACAATCTACTGAAGAATCAGTCAGAAAAATTGAAGAAGAAGGTATTGAGGGGCTCAAGATCGTTATTCACTAAGGGCCTTGATGTGTGAGATGAGATCACCTTCGCCTGGTCATTTCTACTTGATGACATGTGAGTACAATTATCAAAGTTGAAATTGTCTTTCCTTTTCTTTTTTTTTTGGCTTATTCGATAAATGCAGCATAATATTGTCGTTAAATTGGGATGTTTTGTTGAATCCAAGCAGTTACTTTATTCATTTTACCCTCTTTTGGTGCTTCAAATTCTTGCTTTGGCTGTTTTTCGACTCAAATCTATATCATGATGAGTAGTCAGATGTTTCTTTCTATTAAACAGTGAACTTTTATACCTAAGCCAAAGGTTTGCATTGTGAAATTAATTTCACAATTTTGCCCTGGTGCTTTTGTTTCACTTTTAAATTCTTTGAATGCTAATATTTGTCTTACAGAACCTAAACTTTTGTAATTTGTATTAGTTTCTTTCTTTTTTTTTCCTCAGGGATCTGCTAGAGTCATCTGTGGTTCCTAGTGCTTTTTTTTTTTTTTTTTGAAGAAACTATATAATGTTTGCAATGCTTTTGTGGATTCTTCTGCTTTTATGGATTCAGTTGTTCGAATTTAGCTTCTTCTAAAATTTAGTTGTGAAGAGTGAAGATAGTTATGGATTGTGATGTGTGGAAACTTTGTTGGAAGATATCAAATGGTGGCTCCTTTGCTCCAGTTTATGTTTTAGTGCAGCAGTGAAAGTGTGAAACTAATTGGCAGCTATTGTCCATTACTCCAGTCGTGTGAACTAGCTAGCAAATATGCTTAATTTCTGCTCCTTTTTACACTTAAAATTCACAGACAAAACTCTGTTTTCCTGTTCCCTTTCTCTTTAGTAAAACTCTGCAAGTCTCTGTTCCCAGTGTTAAGTTCATGAATTTGACAAAATCCCTTTATAAATGCAATAATTCTTCCAAATGATTCCAAGAAGATTCATATCTTCCAGCAAAAGTTCGGCTCCATATGGTTAAAGAAGGTTCCCCACGTCCTTCCAAATTAGGACTTAATTACGTTTATAATTCTCACACTTACAAAACATAGATGGATTTTCACCAATTCTTTTGCTCATCTCAAAAATATTACAAACTAAGTTGTACAATCTACAGAAGATTAGAATTGGAATTGCAGGATAGTACATAAAAATCAACTGCAATGTATTTGTTGCAGATTTTCTTGGTTATGGTTGGTTTGTGGTTGAACATCCCGATTCCGATGTCTTACTTTCTTGAACAAATCTATACCACGACGTTTCAGCCACCTGTTTGCCAATCGCATCGTGTTTCCCAGCAGCAAGAGCGCCATCACACCACACCACACCGTGACTGCAGTCTCAATTACATGGCTCAGCTGTTTCCTGTGATCCTTTGGAGTTACTATAGCAATCGATATGCCATAAGCTGTAGCGATGGCTGAAATCGTCAACCACATGATCACCATCAAAGCCCACATGAAGAACCTGTGCCTGAAGGGTAATCCACTGATGAGAAACAAAATTGTGCTGAGAGATGAAACAAAGGCTACGGTATTAGTTCTGATGAAGTTTCGATAGTATCTTGGATGTTTATATGCCATCACCGCTTTTCCTGCAGTATGTGGTTCTGCACCTGGTAACGAGTCGTCTTGCCAAACACCTCCGGCGGGGCTTACCCCAGCTTGAAATGCCATTGTTGCAATTAGTGAGGCCACCACCATTAGTGTCTCCCTTTTCCTAGACAACCAATCGCTGCCGGCTATGTCTTTTTTGGCTCTTTCAGCTCCAGCGTCTTTGAGGTATTTTGCAATTTCTGAGTTAGCTTCTTCATGGAGGAGGTCTAATGCGGTGTTCCCATTTGCATTCGTCGCGTTCACATCCACTTTCTTGTCGTCTAACAAGTATTTGATTGTCTGCATATATATATATTTTTCAAGCTAATTAGATAAAAAAAGTCACTGGATAGACCAAGTCAAAGTCAATCATATAGAGCCAAGAAGATTCAGAAACTTCCACTTCCATGCTTGAGTTGGCACTTTCGTGTTCATTAGCTAGCTCATTCAAGTGCAATTTTTACCTGCCCAGTTCATCAAAGTTGAATGCAAATTTCATTTGTTGAAGATTGCAGGCGTTCACTGTTCAGTAAAATCACTTCTAGCAGAAAACTTGATATGTTACTGGCAAGATGCAGGATGCAATTAAGGAAGATGTGAACGGGTAAAGTGATTGTATTAACTGAGAATTAAGAACAAGATTAAATTGCACTAGTCATTCAAATGAACTCAAGATTGAGGTGAAGCTTAAAAATTAAAAGAGATTTACTTTAACAAACGCCCACTTATCAGTACACTTAAAAACACACCTTATTTTGCTCATCACAAATTGCCAGATGAAGCACGGTCATTCCATCACCATCTTTCAAATTGACGAACTCATCATCCTTTATGGTCTGGAGCAGAAACTTCAAAGCTTCGAGCTGATTATACTTGACACACAAATGTAACACAGTCCCTCCTCCGGCAACCTTTTCTCGAGCTGCTAGGGGTTTGGCACGAATCAGCTGTTGTAAGACAGTCACTCTGCCGTGGATAGCTGCGAGATGCAATGGATTTCTCCCAAGTCGATCACGAGCCAAGCACATTTCACCATTGACTTCTAAAATTTCTTGTACAAACTCCTCATGCCCAAGACTTGCTGCTATGTGCAAGGGATTCTTATCCTGGCAATTCAAACTAACTTTAGCAAGAACAAGTGGATCTTCTCGAATTAGCCGCTTAAGGGTTGCAGCATCACCCTTAACTGCAGCATCACGCAGGTGGGTTTCAGCATCACCCATAACTGCAGCATCATTAAGCCTTTCCCCCATCTCTTCCTCTCTAGTTTCCTGTCTGAGCCTTTCCTGATTTTCTCCCTCTCTAGTTTTCTGTCTAAGCCTCTCAAATTGGGTTCTCCTTATTGCCATTCAAGACAGATTTATATATGGTGGAAGGTATTTGCTGCTCGGCTCGTTGACTTGACTTCTCAAGAAGTCTTCTACTATTCTTTTCCATTTGTGCATTGACAGAGTCATTGAGCAGAAAGAAGAAAATGCCATAGTGCAATGTCACACCAGACGCGGACACAGTATTTTGCCGCCAGCAAACATCTAGGAGATCGATCGTAGTAACTTACATGGCACCTTCAGAGAAGTGTCTTCGAAAGTGACGACGAATTAGCAATCTGTAAAATAAAAAGCGGGAGGTTTCCACTTTCTACTCAGAATTATTTTAGTTTATGATGATGACTAGATAGATTAACACGCAGTTTGGTAAACCTTGAGAGAGGCTTAGACCAGGACGCGTCAGTCAGGAAGGACTGCTTTTGAGAGACGAAATGGAGATTGAATTTCTCAACTCTTGCTCAACACTACTGATTTTCTGAAAAAGTCACGGCTTGTGAACGCAACGTGTGAAATCAATCCTTCTTAGTCGATCAATCGGACTTAATGAGCGGGACTTTAGCAAGTTCAACTCAGCTCTCAAAAGAATTAGAGTTTGGAACTTTTGAGCTTAGGGGTTGAGTAGTTCATCATTATAAATTTATGAATCTCATACTCGACTTACAAAATTGTTAGAGCTTTAGACTTAGCTCGGATTCAATCGAAATTCACCATTAATGCATAACTACGTGTGGTAGTATATGTTTAATATTGGTGTATCACTATATGATTCTCTTTAGACTAATAATTTTTTAAGACATAATATGCATAATTATAGATTACATACATTATTATTATGTATTTTATATACTTAAATATATATAATTACTTGGACCAGGCTATAATTGGATTGAGTTTAATAAGGTTCAAGGTTAGCTCGCTTTCAATCGGCCTAATATTTAGGTCCAAACTATATCCAGTCTAGTTAAAATATAAGGCACAATCCTCAATTTTCAAGCTGAACTCAAAGGAGACTAGTCAGATTGACAGTCTTATCTAAGAGCTCATAATACACCCATATAATCATGTTTAAATGAACATATATTCAGTTTATCTTCCTGTTGCAATAAATGAATTTGGATTTTATGAATTATTGGAAATGAATTCATTTGAAATTTGTATTAATTCAGTTACACTGTTTAGTTGGCAATTATAATAGGATTAATCTTCTATACACTGACAGTGTATACACTTTCACCATTAAATACATGACATATAATTCGAATTTAAATTTCAAACTCAAATTTTGCATATGTGTCGTATATCCAACTGTAATAGTGTATACACCGTCAGTGTATATAAGATTTACTCATTATAATATGATAGGTAGAATCTATTTTATATGTGTATGTATATGCTTATTTTCTCTCTCTTTTGTGGCATGCTTAATTGAAGAAAATTAAAGGGCTAGCTCTCGCGGGGGTGGTCCAATGGTAAGCGGGCTCTTCAGGACTCTTGTGGTCCTAAGTTCTAATCTTACCTTGAATTTGAACCGTCGTGACTCGCCTGAGATCGCTGCATGGGGCTGTGGTGTACTCCTCCGGTTTGGTGTGCCGACTCGAGTCCTAAGGGTTCGAGTCGGAGTATGTTCCGGGTTATAAAAAAAAAAAAGAATTAAAGGGCTAATGAATACTTGGTTTTTATTTACTTGTGTATCACACTCTCTTCTAACAACTTACATCTGTTTCAATAAATTTGAACTACTTTTTCTATCCATATATAGTAACTTTTCTTAGTGCGAATTTAATTGTTACATTGGTAATATTAATATTATAATATTGCTAGAAATTGAAAATTCATTCTTGATAAAATTGATTGTTGCATTTTTTTTTTGTCTTTAACTAAAAACTAATAGGTAATTGAAGGTGTATACTCATTATAAAGTTTGATGACCATTTTAAAGAACACCTGTTATGCATCCTAAGATATAATGAATACTATCACGTTATAATAAATTTACATAAAAAAGTTTTTAAAAATTGACAGTTGGACATTTGGAATACAATATTTTTTGAAATAAATATGAATCAATATATAAGATCTCATTAGTGAATTATTCATGTCTTGCTAAGATTCATAAGTAACCAAAACAACAAATAATCCATGCTAATGTACGGGCAAAATACTAGTGTATATAGAAAGTCGTTAAGGTTTTGTCCAACCAGCGCTGGGCACTCGTTAAGATGTGGTTCATGTATTACATTTTTTATTTGATAAAATTAAAAAGAAAAAGTATATAAATATAAGAGAGGATAATATTTGTTAACGTGCAGATTCACATGGAAGGTTGTGTGTGGTTTAAGTGCCTTAACGAGTGCCTATTGAGCGTTTGTTAAAAAAAAATCCAATTAAGAATTTGGTTTTCAATTAAGTGATTTATCTCTCCTATGTACCATAATTGAAGAGGGTTAGTAACTCAATTGCTCAATAACGGGCTTTACCTATTTTGTAGTCAAGTCTTCCCTTAACTAACTAAACAGGTGAAAATTTTTTTTCTAACAACATTTATCTATTCATTTGAGTTATGTTCTTTTTAACTATGTCAAGTAACTTAGTTTGGTAAATATAGATTAAATAATATATTGATACATATAGCAATTTCACACAATGTTTGCCAACAAATATTCACTCAACTAATTTGTTTAACTAACTTTATAAGATAATTTCTCCATAAATTTAAAGATAATTCAGATTACACATGGCAATTGACTATTTCAAATTCACTATTTTAAATGACATAAACAATTTCTAGAACCCAATACTATCACAACCAGCATATGCAGGTGAGGTCTAAAACCACACTCTAACAATACAAAGTTAAATCAAATACTATGGTCATTGCATGCTATCCATTCTTCACTACTTACAGAAACAAGATGCATTACTCAAAGGGAGAGACTAAGAGATGTAAAAGAAAGGATTCGAAATGATACCCTAATCCAACAACTTTTTAAGGATTTCAAATCCAACACTTAGTAGAGTGGATTTGGGTGAGGATTTGAAACCAAGTCCAGCCAAATCCATCAATACACAGACTCTTCTTGTTTTGAGTTGGAATCCAAGCAGCATTACTCGATCAACTGGCCGATGGAAAAGTATCACTTGGCTAGATTTGATACGTCAATTTCTACCACAAAGTAGTATCAACACATTTGAAGACCCTCATTCTTATCATTGCTTTGCGATTGAACTGCACGTTTAATTCTTGGATCCACATTGTTACCACGAGTTTTGAACCACCTGTTAATCAACCGAATCGTGTTCCCCAACAGCAAGAGTGCCATCACACCGCACCACACTGTGACAGCAGTCTCGATGACATGGCTCAATTGTTTTCTATAGTCTTTTGGCGTTACAATCACGATCGAGATGCCATAAGTTAAAGCAATTGCTGAAATGGTCAACCACATGATCACCATTAAACACCACATGAAGAACTTCCTCCTGAAGGGCAAACCACTGATGAGAAACATGATTGTGCTCAGAGATGAAACAAAGGCTACTGTATTAACCCGGATGAAGTTTTTGTAGTATTTTGGATGGCTGTGTGCCATCACAGCTTCTCCCGCGTTGTGTGGATTTGGATAATCTGTTTTGTCATCTTGCCAAACGCCTCCAGCCGGATTCACCCCAGCTTGAAATGCCATTGTCGCAATAAGTGAGGCCACAACCATTAGGGCATTCCTTGTCCTTGCTAGCCAATCCCCGCCCTGTGAAGGCTGGCTGTGTGATTTATTTTCTTGCCAGTCATTTCCCGCAGTAGCAGAGGGAGATATGTCCTTGGCTCTTTTGGCTCCAGCGTCTTCAAGAGATCGTGCAATTTCTGAGTTAATGTCTCCATGAATAAGGTCTAAAGCAGTGTTCCCATTTGCAGTTTTCGTGTTCACGTCTACTACCTTGTTCCGTAGCAAGTATTTGATGGTCTGCAATTCATTTCCATTTCAAGTCGATTAGAAGCAATACTGAATAACTAAACTTGATCTTTTCAGTTTCACACTAGCTGTCTCCAACTCTCCACCCAACACTTCCTCGAGATAGTAGTATTTTAGCAAAGTTTTAATCTATATCGTAAAATCAAGGGTTTCATCTAAACATTTCATACTATGGGGAGCCAGTTCTATAAAAACAATAAATAAGAACAGAGGTACCTCATTTTGCTTGTCACAAACGGCCAGATGCAGAATGCTCATGCCATCATCGTTCTTGGCATTCAGAAACTCATGATCTCTTATAGTCTGGACTAGAAACTGCAAAGCCCCCAGCTGATTGTACTTGACGCACAAGTGCAAAATGTTGCCTCCGCCTTCTGTTTTTTCTCGCGCTGCCAGGGGTCTAGCATGAATTAGCTCTTGCAATACCGCCAATCTGCCTTTGATGGCTGCAATGTGTAGAGGGTTTCTCCCAAATCGATCAGGAACCAAGCACATATCAGAATTAACTCCCAAGATTGCTTGTACAAAAGCTACATGCCCCAGCATTGCTGCTATGTGCAGCGGATTCTTATCCTGGCAATTCAAACTAACTTTATCAAGAAGAAGTTGATCTTCTCCAATTAGCCGCTGAAGGGTTGCAGCATCACCCTTAACTGCAGCATCACACAGATGGGTTTCAGCATCACCCTTAACTGCAGCATCATTAAGCCTTTCCCCCATCTCTTCCTCTCTAGTTTCCTGTCTAAGTCTTTTCTGAATTTCTCCCTCCCTACTTTTCTGTCTAAGCCTCTCAAATTGGGTTCCCTTATTGCCATTCAAGACAGATTTATCTATGGTGGAAGGTATTTGCTGCTCGGCTCGTTTACTTGACTTCTCAAGAAGTCTTTTACTATTCTTTTCCATTTGTGCATTGACAGAGTCATTGAGCAGAAAGAAGAAAATGCCATAGTGGAATGTCACACCAGACGCGGACACAGTATTTTATTTACCACCAGCAAACATCTAGGAGATTGTAGTAACTTACAAGGCAGCCTCAGAGAAGTGTCTTCGAAAGTGACGACGAATTAGCAATCTGTAAAATAAAAAGCAGGAGGTTTCCACTTTCTACTCAGAATCATTTTAGTTTGTGATGATGACTAGATAGGTTAACACGCAGTTTGGTAAACCTTGAGAGACGCTTAGACCAGGACGCGTGACGAAATGGAGATTGAATTTCTCAACTCTTGCTCAACTATTGCTCTGCAATGGGAACGCTACTGATTTTCTCAAAAAGTCTTGTGAAAGTCACGGCTTGTGAACGCACCGTGTGAAATCAATCCTTCTTAGTCGATCAATCGGACAAAATAAGCGGGAGTTTAGCAAGTTCAACTCAGCTCACAAAAGAAATAGAGCTTGGAACTTTTGAGCTTAGGGGTTGAGTTCATCATTATAAATTTATGATGCCCGTACTCGACTTACAAAATTGTTAGAGTTTTAGACTTAGCTCGGATTCAATCGAAATTCACCATTAATGCATAACTACATGTGGTTTAATATTTGTGTATTACTATATGATTCTCTTTAAACTAATAATTTTTTTAAGTTATAATATGCATAGTTATAGATTACATATATTATTATTATGTATTTTATATACTTAAATATATATAATTACTTGGACCAGGCTATAATTGGATTGAGTTTAATAAGATTCAACCTTAGCTCGCTTTCAATCCGCCTAATATTTAGGCCCAAACTGTATCCAGTCTAATTAAACATAAGGCACAATCCTCAATTTTCGAGCTGAACTCAAATGAGACTAGTCAGGTTGACAATCTTATCTAAGAACTCATAATACACCCATATAATCATGTTTAAATGAACATATATTCAATTTGTCGTCCTATTGCGATAAATGAATTTGGATTTTATGAATGATTTGAAATGAATTCATTTGAAATTTGTATTAAGTTAGTTACGCTGTTTAGTTGGCAATTATAATAAGATTAATCTTATATACACTGACAATGTATACACTTTCATCATTTAATACATGACACATAATCCGAATTTGAATTTAAAACTCAAATTTTGCATCTGTGTCGTATATCCAACCGTGATAGTGTATACAATGTATATAAGATTTGCTCATTATAATATGATAGGTAGAATCTATTTTATATATGTGTATGTATATGATTATTTTCTCTCTCCTATGTGGCATGTTTAATTGAAAAGAATTAAAGGGCTAATAAATACTTGGTTTTATTTACTTTTGTATCACACTCTCTTCTAGCAACTTACATCTGTTTCTATAAATTTGAATTACTTTTTCTATCCATATATAGTAACTTTTCTTAGTGTGAATTTAATTGTTACATTGGTAATATTAGGGTCTGTTTGATAACATAAAAAAGTGCTGAATCTGAACTTTTTTCAGACATTCAGATGTTTTGAGTGTTTGATAAATGAAAATACATTTGCTAAATTTGTTAAGTAGTGCTGAACTTGTGTGTATTTTTTTCAGCACAAGAATCCTAACTGAATGCTTAATTCTGATAAGAATTAATAAAATTATTTCAACTACCTTATCTTATCTACCAAATCTACCCTTGTTTATTAATTATATTCAAAATTCTTATCTAATTAAACAACTTAATATTCTCTATCTAATGGTTTTCTATTTATCTTTTCTGTCTTTCTAATGACTTTCATATCTTCTCCATACTCATCATATAATATATTTCATCTTTTATATTAATTTGATTTAAAAATAAATATTATCATTTTCATGCCTAAAAATTTTAAACTAATTAAATCATAGGTTCTATTTCTTTTTTGGATGAAAAGATATAAGGGCAAAATTGTTAAATTTAACTTATTAAGCATTCAGTATAAATGTTTATCAAACGGTATAAATAGGTTCAGCATTAAAATTCAGACATTCATATATTTCTTTTCAGTGCTTAAAATTCAGTAAATTAATTGTTTCAGTATTCAGAATTCAGAATTCAGACTTCAGAATTCAGATTCAGTTTTATCAAACGCAACCTTAATATTATAATATTGCTAGAAATTGAAAAGTCATTCTTTATAAAATTGATTGTTGCCTTTTTTTTGTCTTTAAATAAAAACTAATAGGTAATTGTAGGTGTATACTCATTATAAATTTTGATGACCATTTTAAAGAACACCTGTTATGCATCCTAATATATAATGAATACTATCACGTTATAATAAATTTACATAAAAATGTTTTTAAAAATTGACAGTTGGACATTTGGAATTTAATATTTTTTGAAATAAATATGAATCAATATATAAGATCTCATTGGTGAATTATTCATGTCTTGTGCAGATTCATAACTAACCAAAACAACAAATAATCCATGCTAATGTACGGGTAAAATGCTAGTGTATATAGAAAGTTGTTAAGGGTTTGTCCAACCAACGCCAGGCACTCGTTAAGATATGGTTCATGTATTACATTTTTAATTTGATAAAATTAAAAAGAAAAAGTATATAAATACAAGAGAGGATAATATTTGTATACAAGAAAAAGTGCCTGTAAATATAAGTGAGGATAAATACAAGAGAGCATAAATACAAGAAAAAGTATTCATTTGAGTTATGTTCTTTTTAACTATGTCAAGTAACTTAGTTTGGTAAATATAGATTAAATAATATATTGATACATATGGCAATTTCACACAATGTTTGCCAATAAATATTCACTCAACTAATTTGTTTAACTAACTTTATAAGATAATTTCTCCATAAATTTAAAGATAATTCAGATTACACATGACAATTGACTATTTCAAATTCAGTATTTTAAACGACATAAACAATTTCTAGAACCCAATACTATCACAACTAGCATGTGCAGGTGAGGTCTAAAACCACACTCAACAATACAAAGTCAAATCAAATACTATGGTCATTGCATGCTATCCATTCTTCACTACTTACAGAAACAAGATGCATTACTCAAAGGGAGAGACTAAGAGATGTAAAAGAAAGGATTCGAAATGATACCCAAATCGACTGGATTGAAAATTCGTTATTTGTAAACTTTCTAAGTCATCCTGACAGGAGAGTGGATTTGGATGAGGATTTGAAAATACACAGACTCTTCTTGCTTTGAGTTGGAATCCAAGCAACATTACTCGATCAACAAAGTAGTATCAACACATTTGAAGACCCTCATTCTTATCATTGCTTTGCGATTGAACTGAAGAATCAATCCCACGTTTAATTCTTCGATTCACATTGTTACCACGACCTTTGAACCACCTGTTAATCAACCGAATCGTGTTCCCCAGCAGCAGGAGCGCCATCACACCGCACCACACTGTGACAGCAGTCTCGATGACATGGCTCAATTGTTTTCTATAGTCTTTTGGCGTTACAATCACGATCGAGATGCCATAAGTTAAAGCAATTGCTGAAATTGTCAACCACATGATCACCATTAAACACCACATGAAGAACTTCCTCCTGAAGGGCAAACCACTGATGAGAAACATGATCGTGCTCAGAGATGAAACAAAGGCTACTGTATTAACCCGGATGAAGTTTTTGTAGTATTTTGGATGGCTGTGTGCCATCACAGCTTCTCCCGCGTTGTGTGGATTTGGATAATCTGTTTTGTCATCTTGCCAAACGCCTCCAGCCGGATTCACCCCAGCTTGAAATGCCATTGTTGCAATAAGTGAGGCCACCACCATTAGTGCATCCCTTTTCCTTGCTAGCCAATCCCCGCCCGGTGAAGGCTGGCTGTGTGAATTATTTTCATGCCCGTCATTTCCCGCAGTAGCAGAGGGAGATATGTCCTTGGCTCTTTTGGCTCCAGCGTCTTCAAGAGATCGCGCAATTTCTGAGTAAATGTCTCCCTGAACAAGGTCTAAAGCAGTGTTCCCATTTGCAGTTTTCGTGTTCACATCTACTACCTTGTTCCGTAGCAAGTATTTGATGGTCTGCAATTCATTTCCATTTCAAGTCAATTAGAAGCAATACTGAAAAACTAGACTTGATCTTTTCAGTTTCACACGAGCTGTCTCCAACTCTCCACCCAACACTTCCTCGAGATGGAAGTATTTTACCAAAGTTTTAATCTATATCGTAAAATCAAGGGTTTCATCTAAACATTTCATCCTATGGGAGCCAGTTCTATAAAAACAATAAATAAGAACAGAGGTACCTCATTTTGCTTGTCACAAACTGCCAGATGCAAAATGGTCATGCCATCATCGTTTTTGGCATTCAGAAACTCATGATCTCTTATAGTCTGGACTAGAATCTGCAAAGCCCCCAGCTGATTGTACTTGACGCACAAGTGCAAAATGTTGCCTCCACCTTCTGTTTTTTCTCGAGCTGCTAGGGGCCTAGCATGAATTAGCTCTTGCAATACCGCCAATCTGCCTTTGATGGCTGCAATGTGTAGTGGGTTTCTCCCAAATCGATCAGGAACCAAGCACATATCAGAATTAACTCCTAAGATTGCTTGTACAAAAGCTACATGCCCCAGCATTGCTGCTATGTGCAGAGGATTCTTATCCTGGCAATTCAAACTTACTTTATCAAGAAGAAGTGGATCTTCTTGAAGCAAATGAACAAAAGTGGAAACGTCACCGTCCGCAGCGACATCATAGAGCCTTTTCTCCATTATTTCTGCCTCACCTAGCTAGCTCTCTGAAGTAAAACAGATTTGGTAGCTCATGAAATGCATATGGAGTAGCTGCTGGTTGACTTCAAAACTCGGTAAAAGGCTTTCATGTTTTGCGTTGCACAGGAGTACTTGTATTTGGTTTGACACAGTCTATTTTCCCAAAAAATTAAAAAACACCCAATTGACCAAAGAGTTTTTTTCTATGAAATAGCTAGGATGTTACCTAAAAGCAGCCTCAGAGGATTTCAGGTCCATATGAGGGTGAGACTTTCTGGGGAGAGGGACAGAAAACGCATTAAAAATCTCTGGGAAAGTGAGCATGCATAAGCTCTGCAACGGAAATCAGAAGCTTTATTCAATTGTCGTACAATTATATTAAGGTGGAAGTTACCAAGAAAATCTTGATAACAATTGACCAAGACCAGGAATAAGTACTGAACTACATATACCTTCTTGAGTCAGCATCGATTTGATTTCTATGTCTTCTCGCATGTTCATTTAGCCACAGAGGTGTGTGTTTGTCTCTCTCTCTCCCCCCCCCCCTCTCTCTCTCTCTATATATATATATATATATATATATATGTGCGTGTGTGTGTGCGCGCGTGCATACATGCATGGATGCATGCATGTATATAGCGAATTCTTAATGGTGAACCTAGTCCTCGGAGAACTGAACATTTTGAGACCCTGATGACGGAATAAGACAGCAAAGGAGAAAATAAGCTGATAAAAGTGATTAATCAAGTATAGTTCCTTCACCAGGCTTGCCTTCAAGTAAAAAATTCTTACTAAACCCAAAAAATTGAACAAAAACTACAGGTTTTTGACTTCTTCTCTGGAATCTGAAGTGCATAAGTATAATTTTATTCCAGGCTTGGTTTGGTGCAGGGAAGTTTATAGTTGAATAATTCCAACGTACTGGTTGACAATTCTTTAATTTTGAATGGAATTGTTCAAAGTGTTAGACTTGATGATGAGGGCACTTGGCATTACTAACATGAAGATAAGAGGCTAAAAAATGAATCCAGTATCATATTGTAGATGGAATATGCCAAAAACTATTGACCTGAAATTATTTGTTTAATTAAGTTGTGTTTTATGTGATTGCCGGATCAGCTTGGCATTTGGTAGTCTATCACCAAAAAGATAGAGTGGCATATTTGGGTATTTGATTACGTAACAAACCAACTTCCTCTGGACGAGTTGGCCACCACGTTAATTGTGGGATGAGAGGTCTCAAGGATTCAAACCTTACATCCCATCAATATGCCTCTATATAAGAATTGTTCTAAATTCATACGAATGCATGGTGGTTCTGGTGGTTCAATACTCTTTCATGATAATGTCAAAAGTAACCCTAAAAGAAATGGTATTTAACCATTTATGTTGTCCGTTGCACTTAATTAACCTCAATCCATGAGTTTGCCTTTTGCAATTGGGGTTGATACGCTTGTTGTTTGTTCCTTTTAGAATTTAATATACACTAGGGAGTTTTTGTAAACAAATTAAATTTTTGTGTATAACCAAATTACATTAAGGGATAATTTTAGAAACCTCCCTTGAGGTTTCTGACAATTTCACCCGACTCCTCTCAGGTTTAAAAAATTACACTTACCTCTTTTGACATAGTAAAATACCTATAATGCCCTCCACTTGATAGACAATTTTAAATTTAAGACAATAAATTTACAAAATAAAAAAAATCTATTTTTCCATCTCTTGTCTATTTTCCCCCCTTTCTTTTCTAGTTAATATAACCTCTTTTATCATCTTCAATTTTGTGGATACTAGCAAATTGAAATTACAAAATCAATAGAGGGAGTAGATTATGTGTCAAACTAGAAGAAAATGAAGAGACTCGTAGTGATAGAGAAATAAATAATGATATTGATGATTAAAATAGGAAAAAGCATAAAAGATGTGAAATTTGTCATAATTTGTTTGTTGACAAAAAAATTTATATAAAATGTCAATAATTACATAAGAATTTATTTTAATTAGATTGGAAATTTATTATTATTATTTTATTGTGAAGGTAGAATTTATTCTCTACTTTTGAGATATTAATATTTTTAAGGCTATAGGAGTTATAAGTCAGATTAAGTTGTATCGAAAAGGTATTTGAGCATTAATATTTAATTTTGAGGTATAAAATTAGTTGTCAATGGAGGTTGTGTGTGTTTTCTTCTTTTTTATTTGGATGGCAAGTATTGATATTGTACATGCAAATTGGGATCTTTTGAATGGTTATTTGATTTTAAAACTTATGCTTGGATAATTGTTAAGAATTAGACTTGTTGATTTGTGCAAGGTGTGGAAGAAAATGATTGTGTATACTATATTTTTCTTTTTTATTTCTGTACAAAAGGGCAATTTGAATTTTTGTGAGAAAATCTTTCTTGTTGGACCCATATTATTACCAAACAGTAAAAGAAGGGAAGGTATATGTAATTTTCAAAATCTGATGAGAGTGCTCTGTAATTATTAAAAACCTTAGGGGAGGTTTGTGATATTATCCCTTACATTAAACGTACATTAACTCACTTAGTGATAATTATATTTTATAGTATCTTTTTCTAATATAATAATAATATAACTGCACCAAAGTCTTAACCATGTACCAGCACGAAAGGAGATCTCTTCCCATCTGCGTCAGAAACAAAGCACATTTGTAGGGATCTCAACGAAGCGGTTTTGGGGCGGAACCCCATTATACAAAGGGATAATATCAGAAACCTCCCCTGAGGTTTCTTGAAATATCAATAAGCTCCCTCCACATTTTGAAAATCTCTCTTACCACCCTTTGAATTGACATTTTATTAACAATGTCAGCCCCTCTAAGCAAAAGTAACAATAGAAAATGCATTTTGGAGGAGGGAGAGTATTTTAGTTCCCTTCATACCCTTAGGTTGACTGATACAGTGACATAAGAAAGTTGCAGTAGGTGGAAAATGTGAATTGGAGAGTATTTTTCTGGCATGAGCACTGACCGTTGGACATGCGACGACTACTTTGAGTGCTTCCAGTTTCTCCTTTAAAAGGTGAAACTACCGCTTGAAATAGCTGCGCAAATGGAGAGGTAACTGGGCAAAGAAATGGCTAGTTCATCCTTTAATGAGGACACTCATACAATTAAACTAATTAAACTCATCCTTTAGGGTTTATGAAATGGATGCATTTAATTAAGTAACTAATTAAACTAATTAAATTACCTACGAGTATTACTTTCACATAATTAATTTATATTAAATACAAAACCTATCAGTTTCCCTTTCGTAAAAATATGAGCGTAATATTTTTTGAATTTTACTTACAACAATTTGTATATTTAATATAAATTAAATGATTCAGAATAAAATGCTCATAAATAACTATTACTTTGTTCGTGTAATAGAGAAAACCTATAAAGAGCTGAAATATTATGGGCAATTTCTTTTTTTTTTTATTTTTACTTTCACGTATTTAATTTATGTTAAATACAAAACCTACTAGTTTCCTTTCGTAAAAATATTAGTATATCACTTTTTAAATTTTACTTACAAACATTTATGTATTTAACATAAATTATATGATTCAGAGTAAAATGCCTATAAATAACTAGTACTTTATTCATATAATAGAAGAAACCCGTAAAGAGCTAGTAAAAAGTGGTTAATTTCTTTTTTTATTTTCACGTATTTAATTTATGTTAAATACAAAACCTACTAGTTTTCCTTTCGTAATAATATTAGTGTAACACTTTTTGAATTTCACTTATAAACATTTATGTATTTAATATAAATTAAATGATTCAAAGTAAAATGCTCATAAATAGTTAGTACTTTATTCATATAATGGAAGAAACTCGTAAAGAACTGGTATGTTATGGACAATTTTTTTTTACTTTCAAATACTTCATTTATATTTAAGGGAGGTTACTGCTATTTCTGTAAAAATATTTGTGTAATGACTTTTGAATTTTATTTGCAAATATTTATATATTTAACATAACTTAAATGATTCAGAATAAAATGCCCATTAAAACCTGATACTTGGTTCATGTAATAGAGAAAAGCCATAAAGAGTTGGTACTTTATGGGATATTTCTTTTTTAAAAAATATTTAATTTATATTAAATAGATAACCTACTAGTTTTTTTTCGTAAGAAATTACAGTAACACTTTTTGAATTTTACTTAAAAACATTTATATATTTATTATAAATTGAATGTTTGAGAGTAAAATGTCCCGAAAAAGCTTTAAGCGTAAAATATTTAATTGTTTTAATTTCTTTACTTTAAATTTTTTTCCTTTTATAAGCTGAATAAGGTAACAGCAGAAACAAGGGTATTATTGGCAACTGATGAAGTCAACTAGCTACTTCTGACCCCACAATCACTTGAGGGGTGGTAAGAGAGATTTCCAAAATGTGAGGGGAGCTTAGTGATATTTCAAGAAACCTCAGGGGAGGTTTCTGATATTATCCCTTATACAAAAGTTTGCCCCGCCTCTGTCCTTGTCCAACCCCACTAGTTCCATGGGTCCACCTGCCCCGGCCCACTATCATTATTATGTTTTTGTTTGATTTAACCTTTTCAATCAATATAGATCTAATAATAATTTTATCAATCATTCTTTTGAAGTTTTTATAAAATAAATTATACGTCATTCCATTATAATTAACATAACATGTTACTTATTTCATACAATATATTTAAATAATAATAATAATAACATAACATTTATTTCATATATTATACATATATATATTGTATTATATTAAAATATAGGTGATATGTTGGGCGAGGGTAAGTTCCCTACCTCCTGCCCCACCTCTCGTCAACCACCGCCCTTATTGCCAGGAAGACTCTCGTTTAGGCCTCTCTCCGAGAGTCCCTTAACATGTTACTTATTTCATACAATATATTTAAATAATAATAATAATAATAATATAATATTTATTTCATATATTATACATATAAAAATATATATATATATTGTATTATATTAAAATATAAATGATATGCGGGGCGAGGGTAAGTTCCCTACCTCCTGCCCTACCTCTCGTCAACCACCGCCCTTATTGCCAGTTAGACTCTCGTTCAAGCCTCTCCCAAGAGTCCCTTAACATGTTACTTATTTCATACAATATATTTAAATAATAATAATAATAATAATAATATAATATTTATTTCATATATTATACATACAAAAATATATATATTGTATTATATTAAAATATTGGTGATATACGGGGCGAGGGTAAGTTCCCTACCTCCTGCCCCACCTCTCGCCAACCACCGCCCTTATTGCCATCCCTACGCATTTGAGTATCAATGCACACCAAGTTTTATTTAGGTTGGAGGAAGGACTATGGCCCATAATCTAACGGGTCAAACTGTATCCTGTTCGTGGGGGTTAATCCGCAGAAACATCCTTTTGGGCTAAATATAGTGCTCTTAATGAAAATAGATGCTCAAATTATTGCCATTGACATAGAATCACACCCGTAGCCCGTAGAGTTGCTCAATCAAGT